ACAACCCACCACACAACACACAACAACCACACACACCACAACACACAACACCACCACACACACACACACCACACACACATACATAACACAACGCGCACACACACACACACACACACTACACACACACAACACGCTGAGCACACACACACACACACACACAACACACACACATACAACACATACCACTCACAAACACAACCCACAGAACAAACACAAAGTCAGACACAACATTCGCACACACACACGACAAGACTCACAGCACACACATATATATATAATATATACTATACACATACACACGACACAACACACACATATATATATATATATATAATATATTAAAGATCACTTTATGAGACGCATTACTGAGCAGGGTATGGGTAATATATTATACTATCTAATTATGAGAAAAGTATATATAAATAATATCATAGATATGTATAGCGACACACACTAACAACATATATTAAATAGTTATTATATATATATATAATAATATTAAATAATATTATTAAATATATATATGATTAATATATAATATAGTCATATTAATATATGATTAACTATTATACATATCCGAGGATAATATTATGTACGTACCTCTACTCATAGGACTCACATACATGAAATGTGTGGTGGGGTTAAGAATATAAAATCTGAGTTTTATTTACGTACTTCTCCGTATGTGACAAATTCAGTCAATAGAAATTATGATATTAATTATTACTCATATTATAGTACATTATTTTCTTAAGCTTCTTTAGAATATTACTCACTTATCCACAGCATGAAAATAAGTAGCTCAGCGAGAAGTAATGATAAAAGATATTATTAATAATAGTTTCCTTATATATATGTGATTAGCTATTAGATTATGTACATAATTATTATATCCCGATTGACTATATATCCATCTGGGAAATGAAATGGAGTTGTTGTGTGAATTTAATGAACTAGGAAATTTATTTACAGGCATTGTGTACATTTGATAATAAACAAAAGATTTCAGCCTTTCTATCACGAAACGCTCGATGTTATATCGCAGCACGTCACTCACTATGAGAGTATCCCACTCTCTCTTACACTCCTCACTGTAGCTATCCGTACTGCGTAGTCTGAGTATACGCAACTCATGAGTCGCGACCATCTTAGTCTACTCCATCATCTATCGTTCGCTGACATATATCATATACGTTCCATAACTCATATCATAGATCTCATGAACTGTGGACTCACTACATAAATCATAAGTCTCACACTAAAATTTCTATTATCCCTAATTCGTATATCCTATCTATCCTATCCTTATCTAATTCTAATAACTACTATGTACCTAACTACCTGTAGGCTTAAATAACGAATCACTGTGGCCGCGAAAGAGTACCAGGAACCTCTCCGGGGCGTCTATCGGATTACAGGTGGTCGACATAAACGTAGAGCCAATAACTCCTCTGTGGATCTATTTGACACAATCTCACGTCTATCGTATGGAGCGATAGCACTTCGCATAATCTCTTTAAATATGAGCACACTCAATACCACAGGTCACAGGCTCTTCGCGAATTTGTCGAACCGTCTCGTTTTCAGTCCGTCAGCTACCCAGATGCATATGCTTTATTAATAAGTGTCCTATTTATCTTTTCTGCTTATATTCATACCTGCCCCTTTCCTTAGTTAATACGAGTTCTCACATACATTAAAAACAGGTAGGGCTCAAGGGCCGCCAGTGCAGCTGACATGGAGGATACAAATCTGCTCATCGGCAGGGCTCGCAGCGTGCCTTCGGTGCGGTAAGTAATACAGTACCTGTCTCGGGTGAGTGCCTGTGCCTCGGGTGAGGTGTGTAATAGGTATTATTGTTTTTATCTCAACTAGTTCGCTCAATGCGGCTATAGCCCCTTCCCCTGCACCTGACGTGTAATATAGGCAAGAACCCATGTCCCTCGGACGCTTTTCGCCTTATTCCGCGGATTTGCGCAGAACGAAGGTTTTGCAGATGTCCAGTTTGTGAGAAGAAATAGGTCTTAAGCTTGACTGATTATTTTGGGACTCGGGCTCGTATGTTTGACTCAGAAATACCTCCAACATGGGCTATTGTGCATAAAGAGGAAAAACCCAGGCATTTTCCATCTCTCCTCCCTAGTATTCGAGTAAGAGTGTGTGGAGAGTATAGATTTTATTGTGCTTAATAGAAATGAACGAACAAACCCGTCAAGGATAATTTCTAGACTTGATATTATTGCACAAAAAAATGGACTCTGACGCACACAAAGGCAGAATCCTATTGTAATACACACCATGAGTAATTACCGCACTATGGAATGAGAGAGTATAATAATGATTTACTTTACTATAACTAGAGATATACATCCAACTGTTCAAAAATCACCGTAGCCTCATTTACTAGCCAGGCCAAGATTGCGATGTGCTTGTGTCCAGTGCGGAGTCTGGGGTTTCTCGATAAGACTTGCTCAACCTACTCGTTTCGTCTGATTATTCG